TATATATATATATATATATATATATATACACAAAAATGTTTTTATTAATTAAACATTTTTTATAAGTTTTTGTTAGCATATATGGAATCATTTTTATGCTAACAAAAGATGTATTATTGTGCTTAATGTGTAGGTTAGAAGATCTAGTGAGACAGCAAATCGTTACCAGAAATCAGCCTATAGACCGGCGGGTCATAGAATATTTACAGGTGGGCCACATGCGACCTGCAGGTTGCGCATCACTGCACAGGACAAAGAATATTAAACATTTTTTTATTTGCTTTATTTCAAGATTTAAAGATCAAAACAACTTTTGAGAGTGAGAGTAAATTAAAATATTTAACGTTTTTAAAAAAACGTAAATAAATATCGTTATTAAGAGAATAAAGTAACTTAAAACTTTGTATAAAATATTTTTTACTCCTCATAATTTCGAAAATATTCATTGAAAATGTTTTGACCTTTTGTAAATATTGAGATAAGCAGGTAAAAAAAAAACATTTTTTTAGCTCTACATGTGCAAAAACATTCAACTCGATGAAAGTTTCGACAGTTCCTTTGTCAGAAAGAATTCCTTGGAATGACGTATACTGAAAGCTCTCTGACATATATTTATCAAATAAATGTTTATACAATTTAATAATTGACAATTGAAACAGTTCAATGAACTTGTATTCATTGTAAAACGTACAATGGTAACCACACACACACGCACGCACGCACGCACGCACACACACACACACACACACACACACACACACACACACACACACACACAAATTTTATTTATACAGGATGACAGGCACGTGATGTGCCATTTTTTTTAATGTGCAATGCTTACATTTATATCTATAATGTGTACATATATATAAAATTAACATTCCTTACATGTTTATAAAAAATGCGTACTTTGAATGATTTTATTAAAGAAATTTAAAAGAAGCTTACGTGTTTGTATATATACATAATACGTTGTATATATCGCGAATTAAGTGAAGTATAATACTTACAAGAGAACCTCGCGAGGTGTCAAATTCTGATTTTTATGAAACTTTGTGAACCTGTAGTTCACATAAAGAGATGAATTTAGAAAATATCAGTTGGGGCGGAAAAACGGTTTGAAACGGTGAAATCATCCCTTATGTGTATAGTTTTCAGCTTTTCCCATTATATCTCGAAAACTGTTTGAAATATCAAAAAATGTTTTATACAAAAGTTTTACAACAAAATTACCTCTATTTATTTACATCAATAATATTTTTAATAAACATTCTTTTTCAAATTAAACAAATTTTTTATTTTTTTTTAAATAAAGCTGACAAAGTTTCATTAAAATCAGAATTTTTGACACCTCGTGAGGTTCGTTTGTTAAAACAGATATTGAAGATTTTTATCTTCATATTCTTATTATCTAAACTTATATCTGCTTTTCATTTATATTTTTTGTAACTCTTATCTTTATCTTGGTCTTCAATTTATTTTAATCTATTTTGAGAAGAAAAATAAATAGGTTGCTTTTTAAATAAATTACATAATTATGAATCAGCTATGTAATCATAAATAAAAATAATACTTATCCATCAACATATTCGTAAACAAATAGTATTGAATGAAAAGTTAAATTAAGTAATACAAAAAAAAAATTGATTCTCTTCTTATAGAACTTATATTTTAATTGTAACTCGTATCACATCATTTTTTTTTATAATAATGCAGTGCAATTATCAATTTATAATATAATACATGACGAGATATGTATTTGCATTAAATAAAGATAAGAATCATTCTCAGTAATATGACATTATTTACTATAATACTAATGTTATATAAATATAGTTAATAAAATTTATCACATGCATCTCATGATGAAATAAACACTTAAATAAATATGTATAAACATTTATTACATGAAAATATTACGCATCTGAAATACGTATACAATTTTGAATTTTATAATTTTATGTTACAATATATGTGTAATACACTGATCCGTTAATGAGTCATCTCATTAAGCATTGTTTATTCAACTATAATAGATTGTAGTAAATTGTTTTTAAGCATATCAGATGATTAAACATCTAAATGTAAACGTCTAAATATATCTTTATTATAAAAAAATTTATATATAACTCTGTTATAACTAAATGATTCTCATACGTATTGTTTAACTTGAGCACAATATTTTGCATGTAAATATGTTTCATGTTTCTTTATTGCAGCCTTATTGTTAGGCTTCAGTCAGATTTCAGTCAGTAAAAAGAACGGTTCGTTTATCAAGAATATTGAATTAACAAACAGTAGTCGTAGCATTTGTAGGAGTCTCATTCTCGTCAGTCTCATTCTCGTCAGTCTCATTCTCGTGAGTCTCATTCTCGTGAGTCTCATTCTCGTGAGTCTCATTCTCGTGAGTCTCATTCTCGTGATCCTGTATCCGTTTCTTTAATTTCTTTGCTAATATCTTCTTGATAAATTTGCATTGAGGGTACCACTTAATATGCTCTTTCACAGGATCATCCTCCGGTTGCCAAGCTCTCAGACATTTTCCACAATAGAAACACATCGTTTGATCAGAAGATTCAAAAAGGCCGCTAAAGTAAAAGAAACCAGCTTCAGCCAATTCTTTTTTTTTCTCACGTATCGTATCGCAAGTACATGTTGCGAAAGAGAGTAATCTACGCTCATAGGAAGCGTATGTAGGGTCTGTCGAGCCTAATACGTCGCTGAGCTTGGCCTTGAAGTAGGCGTTCGTATCAGCGTTCCAGAAGACCGTAATGTCAATATCTTCATCAGAAGATACGGAGCAACCTTTTGTCCCTGAGTCCTGAGTAATCTTTTTTGACTCTGAGTCCTGATTGACCTTTTTTGACTCTGAGATAGAATTCCTATAACTTTCAATTTGATGCTGCACGAGTATGTCCGGAAAAGAATGCGACATGTACTTGAGGCCATAAAGTCCGCAAACATCTACTCGTGGGGGTAGCATGTCAATCTTGTTAAGATCGGCGTCGATTGGTACATTTCCACAAGCAACATTCCGGACGAATCTACATCTTCCAGACCAACGTTGATGCTCGCTCTTGGGATTATCACCGATTTTCCAGTTTGACAAAGTAATTTGGCACTCGAAGCATTTTACTGTATCTTTCTTCTCAGTGTAGTAGAAACCGGCAGCCGCGAGTTCTTTGCAATTCATAAATGACTCACGCCACATGGCGAAAGAATTCAATCTTAGGCTTTCAAAGCGATAAATGTACGGATCATTTGGTGCATCATAGTCTAGCATGCGTGCACACTTTTTTACGTCGAAAAATGGCTTATACATATAAGCATCTGAATTCGACATCTTCATTTTTTTTTCAAACATCCTTAAGAATCTGCAAAAAGAAGAGACAAACGTGATTTATAGTAAATTCTTCTGTACATTGTTTCTGTTGTCTGCTGTTCGACAAAAGTACGTGGGAAATATAATATTTATTTTAAGCGTACGCACATATAAAATTGTATATAGATAAATAGATCCATTTATTCATCAATCACCGCCTATCATTTTAATTTTCTTCGTGATCTTTCTCCAAATTCCACGATAATATTCTACCTTTTAAAAAAAAAAAAACAAAAGTTTATTTATCTCCGTCTACTTGTTATACTTGTAAATATATAACACTTGTGAAATACAATAGATAGATGGAAATAAGCACGCCAACTTTTCTTTTTTTTTTTTTTTTTAAAAAAAGGAAGAATATCCCTAAGCACAGATCTCCAAGGGACGTTCCAAAGAATATTCAGAGGATCTCCATGTCCTAGCTTGGTAGCAAGCTGACGTCAAAATTACAACCGAATGACTGTAACTTGCTACCTGGATAAGAACGTTCGCCAGAACGTCCATCGAATAAAGTGTCTAGAGATTATTGTGGAATTTGAAGGTTTCCCGAAATTTAAAAGAAGATTGATAGCCGGTAATATAAAAATAACGGGCGGATCTCTTTATCTGCAATTATGCATGCGCACGTTTAAAATAAATATTCGTCCTATCTAAACCATCTTTTATCGAACATTCGAGCTCACGCTCTCTTTTTCCCTTTTATATAATCTACAAAAAAGCGCATTCCACAATACTCAAGATTGAATTTTTTTCTATTCGAAAAATAGCAGCAGAGATAATATAAAAATGTGCTGAGAAAATCGAACTTATTCAAAATATATTTTGAATCCTAATAAGTTAAATACCTCAATCAAGATTATTAAATTGAAATAAATTCAATTTGCTTATTACATAAAATAGCTTCTTCGACCGATTTTATAACTTTTCAAATAGCACGAGCGAAATAAATAATGTCAACTTACACCTGCGCAAAGCTATCGTTTTTCAACATTTATATATATATATATATATATATATATATATATATATA